AAAGGCACGGACGGGTTGGGAGGCATCCTTCCGTTGTTGGAAAGCGATGTTGTGGCCTATGCTCTGCTTAGAGTGGTGAGTAAAAGTTTAAACCGTTTACCATTGCTGGAAGTCCTTGACCGCCACAAGACGTAGTTTATGTATTAAATTGTCACTTGATGTACTCATCTCATATGTCTCGAGGCCTACTTTTCTGTCACCAGTAGGATATGACAATTTTTAGAAGAATTTGATCATCACCAACCTTTTTTCACCGTCTCTGGATTTGGCTCATCGCTTGATGATCTTGACCCTTTTGCTGATGTTTTACTGAGATTTCATTTGTCCTGCAGATGGATGTTGTTGACGAAATAAGCACTGTCAAATTTGTGTTTATTACGTGGGTTGGTGAAGGCGTCAAGCCAATGACTAAAGGAAAAATCAGTACACACAAATCTACTGTGGAGAAGGCATTCCATGTATCCTTTGTCACTAATGGTGCGTTTGCCTTCGCTACCGCACATTCAAATCGTAATCTTCCTTCTTAAACAAATTAAATGAAAGTAAACAAGAAGAAAAACAAAACAAAACAAAAAAGAAACCTAAACGTGTTTACATCCTTGACATCTCTCAAATCCGATCACAGGATGATTTGTTGTGAATGTAATGATATCATTGCCAAAAATATGTACATAAAGAACAACTGTAACCTTCTGAAATAATCATCATGTCATCTGAATTTTGGTGGCAGAGAGAATGTAAACAAATGATCTGAAACCATTGTTGAAAAAAAAACCTCTATTTCGTTCCTGATCCCTTTATACGAAAGGTAATTGTGCGTAACGAATAATTTTTTTTTGGGCGTGATATCAGCCACAGTGCTTGCATATCATTTAAATTTCCTTGACTATATTCGTTTCAGCCTGCACACGTGACCATTTACGCAACAACATTAGAAGACTTGTCAGAAAAGGATATCATGTCCAAGGTTCAAAACGCAAGCGGCTCAAAGTCTCATGTTATGTAGTATTATTAATTATAGCGTCAGTACCGAATTTCACGACTGTTGGTTCAGATAAGCAATTATTAACTTTGAGTGAATGAAATTAGAAAGATATAGTACAAGTACATCGTAAACTTGAACTCTAATTATGGTACAAGGGAGGGTGGGAGGGGAGGCTAGGGTTATGTGCTCTCTATTTTGGGAGTTATGCTCTCTTTTTTTGGGAGTTATACTAAAAAAATGACTTACTTTAAATGGGCAGAGATGCTAGCGTTTTTATTATTTCGGGATTTTACTCAAAATTGTAATTTTCCAAAATGTGTGAGCATGAGATTTCTGGGTTGTATCTACCTCCTTTTTTACCATGCGTTGCACTTTGAAACTATTGACATTTTCTTTACTATAGAAAATTAACATTAACAAATTTTCTGGGCGGTATTCTGGCATTTCCGAGACTTATGATTGCAAAAACATTAACCAAGAGATCAGCTTAAAAACATATTTTATCATCTTATGTGTTGTTGTTGGTATCTATTGCTTAGAACGCTGAGTTTTCCCCTCCCCCATCCCCCCATTCCCCATTCTTTTTTCTTTTGTTGCCCCCCCCACTCCTCCTTCTTGTCCGTTTTAATGCAAAAACAAATTATGAGCTGAAGATGACACAGATGTGTGTTGATTGCTATCTAAAAATACATAAGGTAGTGATACAATAATGTAGTAAAATGGTAAAATACTTAATAGTTTGAGTTTATAGTGAACTGAGTGGGACACAAAAAATGAGCAGGTGCAAGAAGAGAATTGAACCAACCAGTAACATGGCAATAGTAAGAGTAACATGGCAATAGTCGTCCAAATCGATCTTGCCTTTTTAATATTATTCATTTCAACGGTTGTTTGTCGAATAAGAAATTCTTGTCGTAATTTTTCTAATGTGGAAATTACCGATTTGTGATGTTTAGGAGGATTATACGAATTAAATATTTAGGATCACTTCTTGCAGGTTTAAATTCTTTTTAATAAATATCAATTTCACTTTTGTTTCTATGAATTTTCCACGCTGATCCGTCAATCGGATGATAAGTCTTTGTTTTCCCAGCTAAAATTTTAAATTAACTGTTAAGGGTAATCTTCCTCAGAACAAGAGAGAACATGGCTTGACTCCTACGCGCGTAAATTTGAAGTCAATCGACCAATCATACTGGCCGACCCCACTGCCTTCCTGCCCCATTTCCCTTCGGGAGCGTACTCGTAGGCTTCACAGAGGGTGTCATCTGATACCCCGTCAACGTCTCAGACGTAGACGATGACGCGTATGGGTCGCGGCATTAAACGCGTAAACTTCTTTTTACGGCTCGTCCTCTCTTCCGCATGGAGAATGCTCTTTCAAGTTAATGAATTCCAAGAGTGGAGAGAGAACATTTTCAAAGTGAAGCTTTCCGCAAATGTTAACGTCGCAGTTTTTATATGATGGAATTTAGGGTTTCCAGCAACTGAGCCCGTAGTATTCATAGGACTTCTACGCCTGAGAAAGAGGTCAACCGAAGAGAAAACACCGTAGGAAAGGTTGCTAAAAGGCGACATTCGAAAGTGTACGCATGTTCAGATACCGATCTTGGCAAGGTTCCATTCTATGACGTAAAGTTTTGCGACAAAGAAAATTGGGATCTTTGGAGTAAGATTTATTGCATTTCCTTCGGTGGAATTTCCTAAGATTTGCTGGATTGTCATATTTGTCAAATGAAAACTTCGTGAGATCTAACCAAATTTAAGACAGGAAGAAAACACAAAATTGCATTTAGCGAGGAAACTACCTTTGTAACCCTATTTATTTGGCTAGTAAATGATCGGCGGGACAAATTTCACAAATTGTGAAAACTTTGAGAGATTTCACGAAAGCAAATTGAAGAAAATCAAAAGCAAAGCCAAATTACCACTGGCGAGCGCCTCCTTTCGTGGCACCTTAGCTTAACAATTTAACAACGGAAATCATTTGGTTAGTATTTACTACAGGAAACGACTGTCCGAACCTTGCTCATCGCCTTTTGATGGCTTTTAGAGACCTTGGAAAGCCAAAACAAAAAAATTTTCAAGAAAAACACAACTTTGGCGCGTGCGCCAACATTGAGCAAAAACGCTGTGGAGCCTCATTTCAAGGATTAACACGGATGAATGCGAACCCTCGATCGTTAGTGCAGAACTGCTCTTTGCTATGGATGTACAATCTTAGGTCTTAGGTTTCCCATCCTAAATACTGCTACACTATTTCCAATACCTATCAGAATTAGTCGTAGTTTTCCGAAGGAATGACCACCGAAGTATACTCCATACGTGTTAAACCCTTACGTGTCGAAACTATTCCAAGTTCAGTAGGGATGCCACCAGTTCAATACCATACTGCATGTATTATCATTTTCAGCAGAAAGGGCTGAAATCCCACTGAAAAAAGGAACTTGATTTTCATGATATTCTCATTAAAAATCATTTTCGATATGCTTCCATCATGACAAATCAATTCGTCATTTCAGTTCCGCAACATTTTTCATGATCTAACGTCATTGTTCTTCCGTTAAAAATAAAAAGGAAAAAGAGAAAGAATTGACTTGGAAATTTTCCATGATTATTATGGTGACATTTCATATTTCCTTAGGCTAGTCTAAACTTCAAATTAAGGAAGTTATTGATTGTACTAAGGCTCTTGGAAGTTACGCACGAGTAGTCTTGCTGTTGCTCAACACCTCGGTACTAAATAAAGGCAGAAGCGGAAGTCTTCGTAATTTCCATTTTTAAAGCTTTAAATTGCAGGAAGGGAATTTTTTCTACGAAGCTTAAGGATCATCTTGTAAAGCATATATTTTTCGCTTTAAATGTTTGATAGCGGAATCAATATAAATGAGAGATTAATACGGTTCAAGACCTCCACCCGATTTTCATATTTGTTCCGCAACATACTTATCATATTACACAGTCCAAAACATGCAGTAGAAAGAAATGAAAGTTTGGTTTTGAACAAATGGTTGACCAACGAAGAAGAGGAAGCTTCTAGTTTTGTTTTGCCAGCCCTGCCACATAGAAATCTAGTGCTTAATGCCATTTTTATCGTATATTGCCATGGTATTGTATTTTGTATATTATTCATAACGAGTTACCGCAGAAACCTAACGAATTATCGAAAATTAACTCGATTAAAAAGCCGCTCAACAATAAACTTATTCGCAAGACGATATGAATATATAAAATTAAAATACTTTTTGTTATCATCTTTAAAAGGAAAATAGGATAGAATCATAAGTGAACAAACTTACGTAACGTAACTGAAAACGGTTGAATATTCCGCGTAACGGTTTGTGGTTTTTGTTTATAAGACTTTCGCCCACGCCTACCCTCTACACGGTCCGCTGAGGATGCTCAGTGCAACATTGATAATGACCACGTGAGAAACTCGTTTAGAGGAAGTGTTATATGGAGCGGAAGCCAACAACACCCAACTCTCCTCTAATGAATATGTCAATTGGGAGACAGGTAGAAAGGAAAGGGAAAGTATCAAAAGTTCATCAAAAGTAAATAACAGATAGAACCAGTCAGATGAGCCTTGAAAATCGCTAAATGTAGAATGCACTGATCCAGCTTTTAGCTATTTTGTTAAGATCGAAAGTATCTCTTTCAGACTGATATCACCTGATCAAAACTTATTTTTGCTGTTTGGTTTGATTTCCGTATATAACTGCTTTGTTTCACGAGATGACGTCAGTGAAGGAGTTGAAACACTTGAAGGTCTTACGCAGATTCCATAACTTTCATTAACTAGGCAAAACTTGCGCCAACAGGTGCAAACGGGAAAATATAAAAAAAAATTCCTTCAGAAACGTGATGCGCATAAATTCTTTATGAGGCTGCAATAAAGAGATTTTAAAATAGACAAGGAAGCAACATGGTTTCCATTCAATTCTATACACTAAATTGCCTCGAGACTCTAGCGCCAATTATTCAATCCGCATTCTCCCAGAATGGAGGAAGAAGGATTCTCCTACCGGCTTTAAACAATTCTTTTTCGTTAAACGAAACTCCTAAAATGGACGAGCGGTGTAATTCCCTAAAATATATTTTTAGTCACGGGAGCCATGTCCACTTTTGTGTCAGCTATAAAAGTTGGTGCGGACGATTCCAAAACTTCAGAACTTTAAAGTGAACACATAACAGTGAGTGCCTTGGAGAACGCTTGGAACGATTTCATATTCATTAATCGCTATGATGATTTGCTTGAAGTCAAAGGTAAGTAGCCATTTTCTGGTTGGGGGCATCTTGACTCATCGACGATTCATTTCTGAATTTTTTTCTTCATCTCCAACTCAAAAAAGACAAAAAAAGGCAAAAAGAAATCTCCCCTTCATTTCTCCCCCTCTCATTTTTACTCTTTCGCTCATCATTCGCTGATCTATTGAAAATTGTTCAGTGTCACTACTCTAACAGTCGGTTCTAGTCTCTTAAACTGCTCTGCATTTAGTACTTGACCCTTAGTTCCCGAAGTGATCACCGTAGTTTTCAATTGAGCGTTGAAAGATACTCAATTGGTCTAAACAACTTGCACCACCAAGTCCTAGGAAGAGGAAAATTGAGGGAGATTAGTTCCCTCAATTTAGATCTCTCAACCGAAAAAGGAAACCAACACTTACTTGAGTTTCTTGTACATACGAGGAGGCACTTAAATTCAAATTGTATGCCTCAGGGCCAACTTTCCCGGCTGATTCCTGTAATGTAAACATACCTTAACATCATAACAAGTAATCAAGTCTAGGCTTTTTATTCGCCTTCCAGGACGTCGTCTATACAACCACGGCTGTTCTGTTAGTGCTTTTCGCCGTTTATGAATTTGCTGAAAGCAAGCCAACATTTCAAGCCAAGGAAATTGAGGATTTAGATCTCTTAGCCGGGGACATGGCAACGGCAATGGCAAGTGATTCTGCAGAGTACAGTGGGGACGAAAATGTACCGCTTTACGAGAAGAAGCGAGTCGGACTAGACACTGAGAGGAGCAAACCGACTATTCCTGCTGATGACGACATCATGACCTTGATATCTTCTCTTCCAGAAGATAAAGCGGAGGATGGCGCACTTCTAGGCGTGGGAAAAAGAACCAGACGAGATACAGCGAAAAACAGCTGTGTACAAGAAATCATATACAAGATAATCGACAATAAAGCTGTAAAAACGGTGGTTTGCGTGGACGGCTGCGATGAGATCAGAGGGATTTACTATCCCCAGTACAGAGACGAGCCCCAGATACTTACAGTAGATTGCAAAAAGAAGGAAAAAGATACTGTAAATAAGTTTTTTAGTCAGTAGCTGTAATTAGAAATGATGAGATCATTACCAGAGTGGAAATTCGACTATTTAATAATTTTTATTAGTAGTTCAACCTTGAACAAAACGATGTAAGCCAGCTATGTTGGAAACTATTTATTTATAAAGTTATTTTGATGTATGTGTGATCTGTTAATAAAGTGTTAACAACTTATTAAATTCTCTTACCAATTTTTTAAACGAGTTGTATAGAGCAGCAGACAAAAGCGTTATTCAAGGTCAGAGAGAAGAGGCCAAACGTAACTCATGTTGGTGATTGTTCAATTATCCAATGGAATTTTATTCTGTTTATATAGAAAAAAAGAGTTGCACTCCCGTTTTAAAAAGTTGGGACATTATTTCAGATCAACATCAACGCCTTTGATAAGTGTTTACTACGCATTTGTATATCCTTACCTAACACACGGCTACATATTGTGGGGTAGTAGTTGCGAAACTCCATTGTCTCAGTCGGAAAAGCTACAAACCAGAGCTGTAAGAATCATCAAGAATGCCTCCCCATTATGTAAAAAAACCGGCCAAATTAAGCTTCTTGATATTAATAAGTTAAGTACGTGTCAACTATTTTACGATCATATTGTAGATAAAAAATCATCTAATTTAGCACTGTCTTTTGTATCAGAGGACCATGATTATGCCACTAAAAGTACGTCTTAGTAGCACTAGAACCCCAGACCCTTCAAGATAAATAAAAGAAGATTCTGTTCAATAGTTATTGGATGCTACTATTGGATTGATATTCCTATGTCAATGCGGAGGAAGCCCACTAGAAAACTTTTTAAAAGAGCGACATTTTTATGTGATACTTTTCTCAGTATTAATCAATGTCTTCCTTTGACAATGTCAATTTATGTATTTATTGTTTCTTATACCCTCTCTTATATTTGTATTGCTTTGGTTTTACTATATGATATAATGTGAATTAACGTAATGGGCGTCCAATTAGCTCGCTATATTATGACCTTCCCCATAATTTTTTTGTTTGTAATTATTCAAAATGTTTTAGCATCGATTAACTATGGTTTTAGTTGTTGAAATGGAGGAAATTAAAAAAAAAAATCCAAAAAAACCTCTTTGATGTTCTTTCGCCCCTCTCCTCCTTCCAATAATCTTTATTGCCAATGTGTCTGAGCGAACTTGCATCCGACTATTAAACAACGAGAGTATGGGAGGCGGTTAGCTGATGTACCAACAAATGTGTCTGGAGCACATATATGTGAATATATGTTTTGTGCTACTGCTTGTCAGATTATGAATTGTTAGCTAAAAAGACAATATGATGTTAGGTGACCATTGCTTACAAGTCATTTCGTTTAACTGGGTTGTCTTGTTCTATCCTGTACTTTCCAACACTCCAAACATGAGCCCCTGAAACATAAAACAAGACTTGAATACAACGAGGATGCGGAAAATTTTATCACTCATGGTTGCATGAGATGAATCGTTGTAAAAGGCTACATGTAATATTAAAACTACAAAATAAAGTTAAGATCTCTTGTAAAATTGGTCAAATAAAAGCAGGCACTGCAGCTCAATTAAACGTCTCCCAGCCGCTTGTAATGTCGACACGCCCAGAGGACAAGGAAAAAGGTATTGCTGACCCGCAAAGAAAAGGCGAAACTCGAGTTTAGGAAGAAATGAATCAAGTAAAAAAAGTGCACCCCAACAACCTTAGCAACCAGATTTTGTAAAACCGCTTACACTGTAGATGCTAAGACAGGGGAGCTATCTCAATAAAAATCCACAATCAAAGCAAAAAAAGTTGAAAATTTTTGTGAATGGACGGTAGAGGAACCAATATTAAGTTACCTTATTGAAAAATATAGAATAAATTCCACCAGTTCACCTCACGTAAAGTTAGTCGTATTCCGCAAAAACCTCTATGGTTTCTTAAAATTGCTGCCCCCGTACTTCAAATATGAGAAATCCACCCTGAAAATACTCTCTAAAGCAACCATGCGCGCTGAAATTTGCAGAATATGTCAAGTTAAACAATGCAATAATACACTGAATAATTAATTACGTGACATATGTTGTCGCGAATTCTGCCTACTATGAATGTCTGTATGAATTAGAGGGAAAGCAAACTTCCATTTTCTTTAGCTCTTCTCTTAAATGAAAATAACAAGTATAGTCTAATTGTGCTTTTGAAACTAAAAAGCGTCTAAGGGCGGCGTCCTTAGCAGTTGCAATTAATCTTCGCGAGTTTCAAGAGTTTGAGCCTTTTTTTTCTTTTCCTGGAAATATGCGAGGGTATGCTCTGTAAAAGACAATAAATTGATGAGAAAACGAAACCAAACATATGTGGAAAGCGCCCTACCAGCGAAAGTACCACAAGATTCGTTTACCTCAAAGGTATGGTCAATGAAAGAGAACGTCACATTTGAGTCCACTCTACTACAAACTCAAATGAGTTCCACAAGAGGTAATGAGAACCACTTATAATTAAATTGACGGGCAAATCAAATAGACACAAGCTACACAAATAGTACTAAATATCTTATCTTCTTCTTAGAATTAAGATTTTAACCCCTTGAATGCTGTAATCCTCTGAAGAGATAAGAATTAGTTTAAGAGATAATATTTCTGGGAAAGCAGTGGATAAAAATATAGCGATAAAAGAAATGAAGAAACAAGTGAAGAAACAAAAACAATATGGTCGAAGGAGAAGCATTCCAAACTGAAGTCCTAATGCTGAGCCATCGGAAACTAATGGACGGCTAAAGACTCTCGCGAATAGTAGTTTGCAGGTATAATGATAAGAAGATCAGGTAAATTTTACTTTGATGATACTCCTTCCGAAGCAAAATTAATTACATGAGTGTTGTCGATTCCTTCTGAGGAAGGGCAAACTCTTGAAACGTGAGCTTTAGAATCTCTTTTCAACCGTGCGTTTAGCTCATGCGATCAAAACAGGTTTGCGATCGATAAAGCCGGTCAACGTGTTTTGATGAATCTGCAATCGGTCGTAGGATACTTAATGGTGTCCAGAGTCCCTGGGTAATTCTAGTGTCTCATAGCGCATGTGTCGATTAAAACTGGAATTCTTAATAAATTATACACTTTGTCCGTTTTGAAGTCGTAATGAGTTCACATTGTGAATTCAGCTGATGAAATCAACTTATCTTGTAGTACCTCCTCCAGCGCGGCAACTGCAGTTTCCACAGTACCCTCTTTAAGCATATCACAGGCATCAACATTGTCACTTTTTGATTCAGTTGACTCTCGTAAACAACAAAAAATACAGGAATGCTTGTCTAAACAAATACCCTTTAAGTCACTTAATCTGGTCGCTTGACATCTGGTTTTCACGACATGACTTCATGCTTGATTATAACGGAAAATTCAAACATCAGGTTTTTTTCTGATTTTTCTCCTTGAAACTCAGAAGGTAGAAGACAGTTTCATAATCAATTGTTTCAATTATCCACCATTGCAGAAAAAGAGGTTCTTTTCTAAAAACTTAGATTAGCTTACCTCCCACCGATCAAAGTTTGAAAAGTTTGACTTCCTTAGGGAGAGTCAAAGCTTAATTTGATAAAACCTGATGTCTTTCTCTCGCACCAACAATATGCATGGTAACATTTTCTGATCTCAATTGTTTTCCTCACCTTTATCTCCCTTAAGAGTAACAACAGTATAAATGGTAATTGAAAACCTACAAACCTTTTTGAAATCTGGAGAAAGGTCGTAAATTATTGTTTATACCGTATAAAAATTGACTCTTGATAATGAAGTTGTTACACACTTATTTAACTAAATGGAGTTTGCGGTTGAAAGAGAAGTGGGGGGGAGATATAGAGAGATGAGAGAGGAGGGGGAGGGGCTAGGCTAATGGAGGCAGTCATGGTTGCAAGTACAGGAAGCAAGTACTATTTGCTAGAGGCGATAGATCAAGGAAGGCCTGTTATTTTAATGTGTCTCATGTAGTTTATTACAATCCAAGGGGCTGTAAACGATTTTTATGGTTAGATACTTAAACTTCTTTAATTATTCTTGTCAGTTGGCTAGATAATTAGTATATCTATCTATCTATCTATCTATCTATCTATCTATCTAAGCCCATCGCTTCTCCTGGGGCATAGGCCGTCCACAACAGTCTGCCAGAGATCTCTGTTCTGGGCCATCCTTTCTAATTGGCTCCTCGAGTGGCCGGTCTTTCTGATGTCAACCTTGTGGTCACGACGCCAAGTGTTCCTTGGTCGCTCTCTCTTTCTCTTACAGCGGGGATTCCAGCAGAGGGCCTGTCTTGTGACCCTTGACGTTGGTTTGCAAGGAGTGTGCCCTATCCATCTCCATCCTCGCCTTCTGATTTCATCTTCTGGTGGTATTTGGTTGGTCTCTCTCCAGAGGTCTGTATTGCTGATGGTGACTGACCAACGGATCCGCTGGCCAGAATCAACTATACAGATACATTATTCACAATATGAAAGGTCTCAAGGATTATAATCTTCAAAAAATTACCCTTAGAAGAATCAAGTCTGTTCGAATTCACGATCAAAGATAAGAGAAAACATTACCAGTTACTAAAGAACGAAAGCAAGCTCGCAGAACTCGAAATCGGTCACTCCGCCATTTTCCTGAAAAGTACCGCATGGAATTTTGGGAAGCAAATTGTCACCAACCCTGGGGGAGGGTAAGGAATAGGAAAGAGTCAAACCATAGTTGAAAAAATTGATAGCAGGCTCTTTGAAGAATCTACTATGTACATGATAAGAGCCTGTAGCTCAAAGCAAGCACACGGAATCGTAGGGAAATCGAGCTGTCCAAAATCAGACGGAATCGTTCAAAATCTAACAACCGTCGGAAATCGCTCGGAATCGTTAGAAAACAGACAGAAAGGTCCTAAATCAAGTGAAATCGTCTAAAATCGGACGAAGCAGTTTGAAAATGTAGGTACACATACTACTCGGACACAATTTTTCGAAATTAAAGGGAAACATCCTTAATCGACGAATAACATTGGAAACTGACAAGCTTTGTTTAGTCGGGAATCAACCGTCGAAATGACGCCTTCATTCATGTGGTTTTCAATATCTAATCTTTATATTTCCTTGCCGATGGGGAGCCCATCGATGAGTCACCATTGAAAATTTCTTGATAACGCTTTGATTCGAAAAGGAAATGAATGAACGAAAAACAAAAGAGATGGGATGAATTCGAATCCCGTTTTCTTTTAATCTAGTGGGAAGAAAAAACACACGCACAATTAGCATGCTATTTTCAATGGAAATAAATGAACTTTTGATGTGAAATTAATATTCGGTTTCAACAACTCGAAAAAGAGACAAGAAAAGGTGATAACTAGAAACTTAGATGAAAGGTAAATGTTCCACGTAATTGAAAAACCGGTTCACCCAAAGGTGCTCAGGTTACATGGAGTTCTTAGTTTGTAATTCCCTATTTCACGCCATTGAATCGCAAAAGGTAGAAAATGACCGGTCTTTATGATTATCATTTTTCATAAACGTATATTACTCAGTCGACCATTTGTAGTATAATTGCCCGTGTCATCGTAATCGTAACCATTGTATAAACACACTTTTCTTATGAACTTGCGCTTAGGCATGAGCTTTAAAATTAAAAAAAATAAAATATTGAGATTATTCGCAAACTCGTCTGTCATTATTGTATCCAGATAGAATCGGGACACGAACCTCTCGCCGAAGACAGGTTTCGCTGCTATCTTTCGCTCGTTTGCGCAATTTCTGTGTCAATACTAAACAAAGGTATTTGCATAAATTTAATGAGCTGCTTGCTGCCGGTGTTTCAAAGTTCTTTTTCGACTTTTGATGTTGTGAAGTGTAATTTATAAGCTTAAACTGATTAAATTCCTATTTTTTTTTATGAATTTGCACGCGTAATTATACTTTGCAGGTAGTAACTTCTATCTCGTGTTTTCTTTTATCATTCATCTGTGAATTAAGTTACGCGTTTCCTAGGTGGGCGTGTCAATTAGGCAATATTAGGAGCGCCGTTAGTTTCACCATTAGTCTTTAAACCTACACTTAAGTCAGTTTTTCTTTCGTCGGGTATTGCTATTGGAGGTTCAATTGTTCTGCCGCCAAGAATGAAAGCGCTGCACTAATGCGAAACTTATGGTAGCTTATATCATTTGTTTCAGGCATAAACGTTTTTTTATTGATTATTATTATGTGATACTCATCCTACGAAATAAGGGAAGTAGATGAGAAGGCAGGTGACAGGATGCTATTAGTAAGTTGATAATGGAACAACAACTCGAAATAGAAATTTGTTCAATTTGAATTGCATGGTAAGATGTTAAGCAGCTGCCCTAGCCGAAGCGTAGATCTTGATGCCTATGTGCGTTTAAATTCCCTTTTTAATGTTCCTCCTTGGTAAAAAGGTAAAATTTCTAGAGTTAAAAATAGACTCATTCTATAGCATGATCGCACTTGCTTACATTATATATGTCCCATTGTTTACTGAGATATCTTGTAAAAAAAATTACTATTAAAAGGCATTCAAACAGCTGATACCTACTTGCGAGGCGCTCAAGCGCTCTAGATGTCTTTTTTTTTTTTTAAAGGTACTGTTTCTTCATATCTCATTGCTTCATATGTCGTCCTCCATCCTTCCTAACTGTGAAATTCAGCGCTGTATGACTGTTTTATATATTTCCGGTCTCATTAACTTGACGTAACATCAAGAATCACGAGGGCATGTTACCTCACTGACTTTGCCCAAATCGACAAATTACAGCAATGATCAATTATAAGAATTCACAATTATCAAGCGAGCCACAGAAGCTAACTAACGAGTAATAATCGATTATTCGTAAATTCGAGGGAGTTCGGTTTCCACAGCTCATGATGAACAACACTGTGGGCAGAAATGTAAGTCATTATTTTTCAGAATCAGTTTTCCAAGAAGCAGAAGACGACAGGCAGAAAAATGAAAAGAACAAAACAAAAAAAAAAAAATGAAAATAAACAATAAAATTTAGAGGCTGCTAAGAAATGATGGCTGTTATAGACTTCTCATTTCGCACAGTACACAAACCGAAAAGACCATAGATTTGAGAGGTGCTCAAAAAGTTGTAAATGCTAACTGTTTTAACTGAAAATTCTTTGCATGAAATCGCAAAAGCTAATTCGATTCTTGGGTCGTCAACTGTTGAACAAGCAGTTTTATTATCACTTCAGTGACCGAGGAAGACCCCTTTTATCGATCTACACATTTTTTAAGACTTCTTTCCTTCCTGTGACGGCCAAGAGAGAGAGTGAGAGAGAATGAAGGAATGAACTGATACTGCTATGCAAAAACACAGTTGCAAGTTATATTGTAGACACATTCATGTAAGAAATTGAAAAGCGCGACAGTTTGCTAAGACAGGTAGAAACGTACCCATCACATGCTGTACTTGTCCGCTTGCTGAATGTGTCGTTCCGAGAGTAGATCCATATCATGCATGATGCTTTATATACGAGATAATTATTTTAAATGTTGTTTAATTTCTTGTTAGCCTTAGACCAAAATTTTAATGATAACGTATCCCAACTCATGTTCAATACCCTGTGGCTTAATTTTCTCTCTTATGTAACTAGGTACTTTACTTCCCACCAGGCTGTTGGGTTTTGGATAAAGAATTGCACGTTTTGCAATGTACAATTTTCCAGTCCTTTCGATCAAATTATTCTGACTGTCACATCCTCGTGTCATTGATATTTTAATAACACTCGGCCTTGCTTAGACATTAAAGACCTCCCATTTATCTACAGCTTACGCCTTTTTCCAGATCGCCCGTCGTATTTCCCTTTTTTTCCCCCGTGACTGAGCTGTTACCGGAGTTTAGGCAAAGCTGACAACGTGATGTCTGCATATTAGTGTTTACCTAAGCCTGTAGACAAACTTACTCCTGGTTTAGCAGTACTTGTGTTTTTCGAAATAAAATAGAGTTGCTAGATTCTCGACTTCTCTTAACGTTCGATCATTGTTAAAGCATCCGGTTTGACCACCAGATCATAAACGAAACAGATAAACACAATTTTTTTTGTTGTCGTGTGAGCAAGGGATTTTTCAGACACCAAGAAAAATTAAAATTTATTATGAGGCAACAGACAGGTTAACAACGCTGAATGACATCAATTTCAAACGTTCGCTTTTTCCCTTCTTGGGAAAATATTCCAAATACAACATTTACACCCACAAGATAAGACAGATCAATAGCAATGAGGAATTTTTTTATTTAACATCTTCTCCACCTGCTTTCTTAACTCGCTTTGTGTTTGGCTGGGTGTATTTATGTTATTCATTCGACATTTGACAGTTTCGAGAAAATCTAAATTTCACTTAAGGTAGGCGCACGTCCCGTAATCATTGTATATTAATCGTGCTTAAATGATATAAATTGAACCATCTGACTCTCTAAACACACAACCTGGAGACTTTCTTAGGCTGGGACTCGCACAAACCGACTGACTCATCTTTGAACGGACAGTATCAACTCGAAGCCGAATTCAGAGATGCTGCGAAACGTTGGCAAGGTTTCAAACTTATACTTTTTGTAAACCTCTAAAACCCTCTTAAACGGCTAATTTTTTTCATATATTGTATTTTTTATTCTCAGTTTGGTGGTTTGAAAGTTACGGCTGTCCTGCTTCTTGTGATCGCAGCCTCGCAAGGAAGTAAATTAAATGGAAGAGCCAATGCCGTAGAAGCAGAATCTGACCTTAAGACGCATACATGGAAAGATGTGGAAGACTACAATCCTGAAATCTTCCAAGAAGAAAACTACGATATGAGTGACAATGCGTTTTTAAATGTAGTCCGAAAAAAGAATAGATCAATTTTGAAAACAGAATATTGTCCGATATTAGATAGAGCCTTGAACGAGGCAAAAAAAAATGCATGTATATCAGAAGGATGTTACTGTAAATCCCGGGATGGTCGAAACCCTTTAAGATGTGATGTGTGTTCGCACACGTACACAAGAAAGTAAATGGATTCAACTTCGATAAAAGTAAAAAGGACTGGAAAAGAGACAAAAACTTTAATAGCTGTTAACTAAGGGCCTTGAAAGTACCCTCCATTAGAGAAATAAAACAGGATACTGAAAGTCTTGATGGGTTATTCTGTATTTTGAATTACAATTTCGGAGCCGTGAAGAAAAATTTGCGCAAATAAGCGTCTCCGTGGGCTATTTTTCCGCTCTTTATCGATGAAACTTTTTCCTCCTACCCAAAATTATATTCAGCGATTTTGTGCGAAGTCGATGTAAAACTGTAAATTATGGTCTCTAAAAATCTGATTTGAGCTCAAGATTTAAATGGCAGTGCAGTTGATGTGGGGAAAGCAAGACAGGCTCGTGTTTTTATAAAACAATGACACAAATGTAGGTCACTTCATTTTACTCATCAGCCACACGAATACATTTAAAAAGAGAAACACGGTTTGTGTTATAACCAAGGTTATAAAGGGTAAGATAGACAGCTCTGTGAATTTGACTCGAGCAATCCCATGCGAATTGCTTAAAAAAAAACTGCCAATGTCAGGCGGTGTCGTGAATATTGTGGAGACTAAGGGCTTGTTAACATGGACGCGGGACACCCCAGATAGGAGAGGTAACCTGCCTAGTTGGGGTAACCCGCCTAACCAAATAATCTCTTATATTGTCATGATCGCATTACATGATAGGTTACATTTTTAAGCTCTGGAATTTAAATCTTAAAAAAAACGAACCCTTTACAACCACCTTTCTGTAAAAAAGAGAAATGTGTCTTTCGTTTTCTCTATTCAAAATTCCATAGATCTATGGTAACTGATAGCTAACTAGCTAATATTATATTATGGCTTGCATTTACAGCAAAACCTCTATGCTTAACTTAGTTTCAAACAACCACTTCCCATGATCGACGCACAGGCTTGTCATGAGGGGTTAAGAGCATGAAAAAGATGATTCGATCTCAATTTAGTTTATGACTTTTAAGCATTTAACGAGCTTTTTCTCCCAAGTTTCTTTTTCAATGGACTTAGGATAATCTATGTAACTCCTACTTTGTAATTCCTTCGGAAGTTTGTTTCTGTCGACATTATCAAGTTTGATGACAACCAAACTATCGTCCTTTTTTTCCATAAGTCGGTGGAGGGCGTAGTCCAGTTCAGATCCACAATAACTGCTGTTAAAGAAGTTGGTGGAGACGACAGCCACTGTCTTTTTGCATCTGTATACGCTGTCCACCATGTTCTGCCGAATGGGAATTCCAAGCGTGAAATCCCTGTAGTGTACACAGCACTTTAACCCGTGCTTTTCTTCTAGAGTGGGAAGAAGGGTTTTCTCCACCCATTCCGAGTCATAGGAACTGTATATAATGAATGCATCGTATTCAAATTTCAGATCTGAAAATTAAGACAAAACTTATATTTAATTGAAAATATACGTTGCGAGAGGAGAATATGTATGGTTGCGAATATTGACAAGTCGCGGATTAAGATTTGTAAATTAATAACAAAACAAAACAAACACCAAAAAAATACTCAGAAGCAAACTTGTAAAAATCCCAATAAAAAGAAACAAAACAAAGAAAAGAAAAAAAATAGTTAAATGATAAATATAACACCTTTCCTGTTCGGTCAGGAATATCCATCAAAAATATATAAAATAAGAAGTTATGTTGGTTAAAATCTAAATCATCAATATTTCATAATGGTGATAATGGTAGTGAAAATGATGTGCTAATGATGATAATAATTAACAATGAGTATGAAAGCTAATATTATCAAGGCCGAAGCCAAATGCTGAGGCAGTTAACACAAACTGAGGCTTTGCATACTTATTGTTAAGCACTTGTTATGCCAAAAGCGCGTTCATGAAAGTGCCCACTGTATGGCAAATCAACTCCATTTAAAATTTGGATTTCAAAGTCCATATGCAGTTGAGTCGGATATATCTGAAACGCGTGTTAACCATACATTAAACCAAAGTTTATTCAAAGAAACGAAACAATTTTCGCGAATTAGACTTTTTCGCTTCATATATCACGTGGTCGGAAATAGGTAAAAATTCGTCGTTGACGAACTAAATTGACTAGAAAGCGTCAAGAATGGTCTATTATTGCTGCATATATAATTATAACTGTTACAATAATCACACAAACTCGAATGTTTTATTGATACAACTTGAAAATCTTAAGATTTGGCCAAATTGTAGTGTTTTGATCTCTAATATGCTCAAAGATCCTTAGGAAAAGTGGCTTAATAATGCTACAAGGATCGATTGCAATTATTAGCTATGAGAGAACGCACACCCTTAAGGGCTGGGTTGGTGTAGATGCTAAACGGGGTTTTCTTTTCATCTCCCAGTTCAACACTTGTTCCATATAAGACAGACAACTCGTTCATTGGATTAGATTGGCTTTAGTAATTTATTGCAGCAAAACATATGTTTGAAGGGATTCAGTTCCCAAGATGCTCTCATGGCAGACAAGGAGTATGGAAGAGAATCAGATCTAAAAAACTAAAATTGAGGTTGAACATTCGCCCCATCCAGAGCTCAGATGCACAATTCGAAGAGTCCAATGTGATTAAGACACCTTGTGACAATCGCATGGCAACGTTTATAAAATATTACATTTTGTTTGGTAAGATGTTAGGTCTTCTTTTACCCAAGCAAAATATCTTTGGTGCCTATGTTTCATATACAATGTGAGCCATTAGGCATTTGAATTAGAGAGGACAGTCATATGTGTCCATTGAACCATAATCAGTACTGATGTACACTTTCACTTACATAGCTACCGGTACATACACGGCAACAGTAGGTAGTTAAGAGGATCTACACTTTTTGTTACGAAAAAAGAAATGTCGAAATAATGTCATGTAAATACATTTTACTTTTTAGATAATTTAAAATTGACAATAACCTTTGCAAAGGTGTAACTGTGACAGACTTCTTAAATCTCCATTAAATGATGATACAGCAGTACTTAGTTCCCGTCTGTTAAAATAGCACGGTCAGGGTAAAAGGGAAATAGCTTAATTGGAATGGTCTGTATTCAGAATGTGGCAGTTAACCGAGTAACCGACTGGGACGTTTCTGAACCCTATTAGAAGCACTTGATAATCACACGTAACCATTTTTGATCTTTAACGTGTCCAAATGTTTTCTTTTGTCTCTAAGTAAGGTTTCAAATCCACTATTTGACAAACAGAATTGTTATTTTGCTAAGCCTCTTGAAAAGTACTGTTCCTTCATATTTATGAGGAACTTAAAAACCAAAATGAATCACTCTCTGTCAGGCCGAATACTTTTCCATCAGGAGACGCACCCTGCAAAGGTTGGTAGGAAATTAATGACAAGACCTGCTTATTTATGAGGAAACAGTGTCATAGGTGTTTTTTTAGACGATTGCTTGACAGCTATCTGCTTTATCTATTTAGCAATTTCTATGTCCGAGGCTATTCTAGTACTGGATCAGGGGGGAATTTCTGCTGAGGTGAGATCCTGGCACGGCACGATCCTGGCACGGACTTGATCAAGTTGTCGATCACAATTGAATACAAGAGCATCTTCTTGCGATCTCCATCGTAACAATTCATGCCTTAAAATACAACCAACAGGAAAATTGCCGAAAATCGTGTTGACACGAGCAGGAGCCACCTGATTATAATAGATAAGATTAAGAGGGTTCATTCGACTACTCATCCGTGTGACTACCACGTCTTCAAATTTCTGACGATTAGTGCTTACAAAACAGCAGCTCACAACGGGCTCTGGATGTATATGTAGGCCTGGCCTGGGTTGAAACGGTGCTCGCAGAAAAGATTATTAATCCTTTTTCTGCAGAAAAACTTCTTAAGTCTTAGCAGAAACCAGTTATTAAGGGTATATAGCAGACCCAAGATGCAATTGCAGTGTCGTACACACCTTAAAAATAGATTACAAGAATAGGAACTGAGATGGGTGCATATATGTATGCGTAACCTTTTTCCTTTACTTTAAAAGCAAATAGTATCATAACTGTCGATCTTTTGTTGATACTCACACCGCTTTACAGGAACTACTTGCATCTGAGAAATTCGCCTCGCCATTGATGCTGGCACGAAGTTTTAATTAAGGGACGACGTTCCTCTGACTTCCTTTGACTTCGATGACAGCGCGTTTTCACAAGACTTACCAGGTTCGATGAGCGGCAAACAAACAAGTTCCGGATGTTATTCAAACCATACAGGTACGTTGCCGTCAATTTCTTCATGACTATGGTCTTTTGATCGGTGAATTTTAACAATTTTGGCAAGGAAGAGAGGGATCTAGTACACAGGATGCTTTATTGCGCAATACTTGTTCGAAGGTCCATTATTTGGAACTATTGCTTACCCATTTCAAACCGTGTGAAAACATTAGATGACAAAGTGTATATTTCCACCATGCCTGGGTTGTTGTTCACTTGACTTCACGGTCAGAAAATTGCGTAACATTGTGATTAAAAATTGAAAAAGTTCTGGGATTTTAAAACAGAATATTCTACTGAACAATACTGTAAGGATCTATTTACACTCAAAAATAAAATCTACCGGTCCAAGAGTAGTCGAAACATTGCAAACCCTCACTTAGATTGAGCAAGTTCAGTTTTCATTTTCCAGCCACAATTCGTATCGCATTTAAGAATAACGTCCACTCCAAAGCTAATTTTGCTACCTTTAAGAGTTTTAAATGTTATCGTTTCCTGAATCGAGTATTCCTTAGCATAGTAACTTTAAACTTCATTTTGAGCTCCAAAAGGCTTACCTTAATCGCGGAACTGGTGGATCGGACTAATCAACTAAACGTAACTGGACGGGAACTTTGCAGCAAAACGCGACTGCTCACGTCGTCTAAAGTTATGTGTATAGGTATGACGTCAATTCTAAATGTCTAAAAGCTAATGTCAGTGGGTATGACGAAACGAAAACAGAGTCAGCAAGAATTATCGGCGTGTTTTCTCTGATTAAAATTCAGATAGACACCGCACAGGTGCGTGATAATTATTGACGCTATTATTATTATTATCATTATCATTATTAATGCTATTTTTACTGTTGTTAATATTACTATCAGCACATGGTAAGTTTACTTAAGAAGTATACCCTCAGTAGTCGAAAATCTTAATTATGCCCACACCCTTTCCTTATGATCCTTACCTAGCACATTTGGAAATCGAGTTTTACTTCTAAAATTGCTTCTATTCTACGCTTATCAAACGTATACACCAGAAATTGACAGGTCCATTTTTGTTTGGTTTTACCCTCCTCAGGCCATCATTCCTAAATTAAAGCATGCATACTGGTGGTTTTATGGACTTTACATCACATCATGCAGTAATGAGGTCTAACAATGGTGTGTGTACATTTTGGTTAAATCTAAGTGAACCTTTTATCAGAATCTGAATACATGCACTTCAACACATATCTAACACACAAACCTGTCAGAGGATTTGGGGACTCGTAGTTTTTACGTCGGCGGTAGTACAGAAAGGCTAGTAACGCAGCTACCGCCAATACACTCGAGGTAGCAAAGACAAATGCAAAGATCATGCCTGTCTGGTAATCTAGAGAGACAAAGCAAATCGAGGTGTTATGATATGCTTGCAATATTGAGCTTCAACACTCAACAGGCCAAAACATTATACACACAGGCTTCAATCATCTGATCTTTTTCCAAACGTTACTCCACATGTAAAGGTAGAGTTAACGTTTAAATGAGGCCAAATGCATGATGAAAATAAAGAGCAAAAAAGGAGAGATCTTAAGACTTTGCGTTTATCACGGTTTGTAAAAGGACGCCTTGACCTTCTCGGGAACCTTGTGATCAGCTCACCTTTGCGCGGGGTTGGTGTAATCAGATCTAGAAAAAAAAACCAAAGATAGGGGAAAGTTAATTCCGTTTGATTCCCTTATATCAGAATGTGACTTTCTTCTCAAAGAATGAAGAACTGCCGGACCTCATCCTTTATTTTTAAGCGGCACGAATTTTCTTGCACATCCCGTTGTTTCTTGTGGGTCACCATAACAATGACCATGACGATGACAACGAAATGATCAATGATGATGATAATAATGACGATAATGATGATAATAATGACGATAATGATGATAATAATGACGATAATGATGATAATAATGACGATAATGATGATAATAATGACGATAATGATGATAATAATGACGATAATGATGATAATAATGACGATAATGATGCTAATAATGACGATAATGATGCTAATAATGACGATAATGATGATAATAATGACGATAATGATGATAATAATGATGATAGTGACAAGGTCAGGGGCAAGATAATAGTCTCGCTTGGCCTTTTCAAATTGACTAAGACATTTTTTTGAATGCACGAACAAGTTTGTACAATTTCACTCTCTAGCAATTGCTCTTTTGGTACATTTGAAATTTTTGTTTCTAGCTTCGTCCTGTCCTGGATATTTTTTCGTTTCCAATTTGTTAAGCATGCTAGATAAATGCCCTATCCTAATCAAAATGCTATGAACAATAAATATCAACCCACCAGAAGTCGGAGACAATGCTTTGTTGTAGTCTGACCATGCGGAAAAATAAAAACAAATTAAAATAGCTCGTCATTTTGTAAAGCAATGGACCCAAAACTAGAATAAGTCACAAATTAGAGAAAGAAAGCAGAAATATAGTAGTGCTTCCCAATGAGTGGGAGCAGGGCACCAAATGATTCTATATGTATACACCCAGAGATATTGGTGTTTCAAGAATATCCTTTGACCCGCTATCGCTTGCTTTGTTCATTTGATCTTACAATCTGAAAATACCTTGCATAGAATAAATAGAGTTCATCATATCTTCGCGCATATTTTAAATTCCGGAGGTATAAATTACAAGGTCTCGAGTTCAGAAGCATTCTGTGCAGCAACAATTTTTTCCCATCACCATCCAAGGACAAGTGTAACCTAATTAGAAGAAACTTTTGTAATAGTGAAAGACGAACAAAACCATCTCTGGGGAAAGTTTCAAATGGCCGAAAGAAAACATTGCGACCAGTAACAATAAGGGGATAGTTGTTTAGAATCAACAACAGTATCCAAAGTCCAACGTTTGGTGTGCGCGTACCATACGTTAATCAATATTCTGTATAAAAAATGCATCGATTAAGGATTTTTGAAGAATTTGTATTCAATTTATCGAATTTACCACGGCTTTTCCACACGAAAATATATGCATATCTATATCTATATATATATCTATATATATATATCTATCTATCTATCTATCTATCTATATATATATATATATATATATATATATCGAGGGAATTTATTGAATTTTCCAAGTGATTGAGTGCATCGTTCCTTGTCTGAAAAGTCAAAAAATAATATATTGTCTCGTGTGTTCATCTCAAAAACTATTTAACTACAATATAGGCTTCTGTAAATATTGTAAGTTGTGATCAGCTCACCTTTGGGCGGAGGTGTTGTAGTCGGATCTGGTAAAAAAAATAAAAAAAAATAGGAGAAAATTAATGCTGTTTGGTTTCTAAACATCAGAATGTGACTTTTTTTTCATAAAATGAAGAACTGCTGTGACCTTATCCATTATTTTTAAGCGGCAGGAGTTTTTTCGCACATCCCGTTGTTCACTTTGGGGTCACAATAACAGTGACTTCCACATGACGATGACGTGAACGGTGATGATGATAATGATGACGATGATGATGATAATGATGACGATGATGATGATAATATCGCTGATAGTGGCGAGGTCAGTGGCAAAGATAATTATGATACTCATCAGTACTTCATGAGAATAATTTGATAAAAGTTTTATGTTAGAGGAGAGAGACAATAGAATGCTACGTGCTGCAAGAATGTTTCATAATATACGTTGTAAATATAAGCTGAGTATGAAAAGTAACCTACATCTGAATTGAAAATAAACAAAGTGAGACGACAAGGACTTCGTTTACGAAATTTGATTACCGATTAAACAGAAGCTAATGATGGTGTCTTCCTTGGCCTTTTCAAATTGACTAAGATATATTTTTTTAATGCTCTAAAAAGGTTGTGCAATTTTCGCTGTCTAGCGAACGCTAATTTGGTAATTTTGAATGTTTTTCATTTCCAAGTTGTTAAGAATACTCGATAAGTGCCCTATCCGAATCAAAATGCAATGAACAATTTCTATCGATCCATCAGAAGTCGGTGGCAATGCTTTGCTGTATTCTGACCAGCAGAAATATAGTAGTGCTTCCCAAAAAGGTATGTCCCATGAGTGGGAGCAGTGTACCAAATGATTCGATACGTATACACTCCGAGATATTAGTGTTTCAAGAAGACCCGTCGGCTCGCTATCTCCTGCTTTGTTCATTTGATCTTACAATCTGAAAATGCCTTGCATAAAATAAATAGAGAGATCGTGACATTTACGATCTATCAAGATTCCAAAGAGGGACCTAAATATCGAAAATTGCATTTAAATATGTTAGAAATTCGACTGAGGAGACAGTCACCTTGAATGTTGCTTTGTACCTCACTGTGTGCTAACGACGTGACAGGTTTATGCTCTAGAAAGAGGGAGAACAAAAAGTGCGCATGATGTTCTCAAAACGGTGGTGGTCGAAATCAAATTTATGCCATAAATTTATGGCTATATAAATATATCTATATCTATATCTATTTATCTATCTCTCTCTCTACATATATATATATATATCTTTATATATCGAGATATATATATATATATATCGTTATAGCGAGGGAAAAAGATTAAATTTTCTAAATGATTGAGTGCATTGTTTCTTGTTTGAAAAGTCAAGAAATGTAATAATATCTCTTGTGTTCATCTCAAAACTATATAACTACGGCTTCTGTAAATATTGTGAATTGTGATCAGCTCACCATCGGGCGAAGGTGTTGTGGTCGGATCTGGTAAAAAAACAAAAATAGGAGAAAATTAATACCGTTTGGTTTCCTAACATCAGATTGTGGCTCTTTTTTTCAAAAAATGAAGAACTGCTGTGACTTTATCGTTTATTTTTAAGCGCCAGGGTTTTTTTTTTCACATCCCTGTTGTTTACTATGGGGTCACAATATTAATGACTACGACATGACGATGACAATGACATGAACAATGATGATGATAATAATGACGATGTTGATGATAATAATATCGCTGACAGTGACAAGGTCCGTGGCAAAGATAATTGTGATGCTCATCTTTACCTCATGAGAATAATTTGAGGAAAGTCTTATGTTAGAGGAAAGAGATGATAGCATGTTAAATGCTGCAAGAATGTTTGATAATAAACACTGTATAATTTAAGCTGTCTACGAAAAGTGGAATAAACCTAGCTTGAAAACAAACAAAGTGAGACGATTAGAACTTCGTTTAAGCAATTTGGTTACCGATCTCGTAGAAATTAATGATGGACTCTCACTTGGCGTTTTCAAATTGACTAGGACATTTTTTTGAATGCTCTAACGAGTTTGTGCAATTTGCGCTGTCTAGCGACTGCTCTTTTGGTACATTTGAAATTTTTGTTGCTAGCTCTGTCCTGTTTGGAGATGTTTGTATTTCCAAGTCGTTAAGCATGCTAGATAAATGCCCTATCCTAATCAAAATGCTATGAACAATTGATATCAACCCAGCAGAAGTCGGAGACAGTGCTATGCTGTATTTTGCCCCTGCGGAAAAAAAAACAAATTACAATAGCTCGTCATTTCGTAAAGCAATGGACCCAAAACTAGAATAAGTCACAATTGAAGAAAGAAAGCAGAAATAAAGTAGTGGTTCCCAAAAGGTATGTCCCATGAGTGGGAACAGTGTACATTTGATCTTACAATCTGAAAATGCCTTGCACAGAATAAATAGAGAGATCGTGACATTTACGATCTATCAAGATTCCAAAGAGGGACCTAAATATCGAAAATTGCATTCAAATATGTTAGACATTTGACTGAGAAGACAGTCACCTTGAATGTTGCCTTGTACCTCGCTGCGTACTAACGACGTGACAGGTTTATGCTCTAGAAAGAGGGAGAACAAAAAGTTCGCATGATGTTCTCAAAATGGTGGTGGTCGAAATCAAATTTATGGCGATAATGAGAAAAACCTTGGGAAGGTTAGGCTACTTCAAGTTATTATATTTTCAGACATATTTTTAAATTGCGGAGATATATATCAAAAGTTCTCGAATTCTGGAGCATTTTATGCAACAGCAATTTTCCCCAATTTTTACCCAAGAACAGGTATAACCTATTTAACAGAAACTTCTATACTCGTGAAAGAGAAACCAAAACATTTCTGGAGAAGGTTTCAAATGGCCGAAAGAAAACATGGCAACCAGTGACAGTAAGGCGACAGTTGATTAGAATCAACAACACTATCCAAAGTCTAACGTTTGAGTGTGGGTGCACTATTAATAAGTCAATATTCTGTGTAAAAAATCCATCAACTAAGGATTTTTGAAGAATTCATATTCAATTACCGAATTTACCACGGCCTTTTCCACACAAACATTTTAGCAAATGTTTCGTATCCGCTTTTTATAAAAAAATATCGATTTAAAAATTCTGTCAAGTATACAGTGTGGTCATTATATTGGGCTATTTTCAGATTTACTTCCTCAGTACCAACCTGGGCAATTAACTGGAACTTTGCACCCTACAAAAAAGAAAACTCATATGAGGGTCACAAGCGGACTTCTGCTGCTATGACAAACCTTAATTCATGAAATAAATTTCAAAAAACAACTAGCAATGTATAAAATTTGTGGACTACTTAGCATGAATGAAGATATCAATTTTTGAAAAAATTACTTACCCAAAAATCTACCCATGAATGAAGCCAGGTCGTTCGAATGTGGGTAGGAGGCGACCTGGACATGAAAAAAGATATTATAGGCGATCAACGCATAATATGTTCATGGTTCCATCGTACTCAGCGGATCAGGTTATATATATCACAAATTGACACTCCTCAAGTTAATAAGGATTTGAATTTGTGTTGACAGATAGACAGGACAACTTATTTTGAGGGCTTTTTCGTCATCTTCCTGACTTGACTACCGGTTGTTTCGTACCCACGGTCGTTTCCCACAGCAGAATTTTGTTTATATCTTTAATACTCGCTTGACTCTGTTAACTTGTGGTCATCTGTTCATGCGCTTGCGCGTGAGGTATTTCGAATAAATGTATATTTGAAGGGTAAGAATCATGTAAGAATCGATCACCGGTCTGGGTACGAACAGGAAACAGCTAAGACCAATGTTAGGCAACGAATTGGTGGTTTTCAGTTTAGAGTTATCTTGAGACACATTTTCCGGTAAAGTATTGTGGAGAATGTGGTTTCTTTGAAGACAGCACGTAACGCATTAATTTATTTTCAAGCTGACTTTTTCACGTTTTAAAATCACTTTTAGGAGGCGAAGGTTTAAGAGCCGACTTTTCCCTGCGATAAAGGTATACGTAACGCTTACTAGGTGACACTTACCAATACGCGAACAAACGAGTTTTTCATCATGCCATGTGAAGATTTGGTAATTGTATATGTTGTGAATTTCTGAATAAAAAGGGGAAAAAATGTTTGAGTTATCGACCGGTGAAATAAATTCGTTCTGAGTCGAAGAGAAAGATGGGGGCGTTCGGGCGAGGGTAGCTCCGGAGAGGACTTTGATCGGTGACAGTGACTGAAATTGGTCTGTCGATTTCATAGATCTTCCAATCTTTTCAGAGCTGAATACCAGCCTTTAGAGAAGTAATCGAGTTCAGTAAACAGGAAAAGTGAATAATGAAGAATTAAGATTTTAGTGGACACTGATATCTCATGAAAGTTTTTCTCTACAATTCTATCGAAAACAAGGTGTTTCTTTAGTATCTAAAAGTGATATATTGAGATATAACTGCTTATGAAGAACAACTTTTTGTTTGACCCTGAAGATCACTTCCGCTCGAGTCTAACTTTTCCGCAAAGCATCAGTCTGTGTCACCGACAACAGATTTGGATGAAAGAATGGAAAACGCAATTGGGTAGTGTCTGGCTGACCCTAAAAACTCTCCGTGTTCTGAACTTTCCTTTCTTCTTTGTTTTTTTCCGCATTTTCCACAATGATTGTTGTCAATAATGGAAATTACTAACGTCAAAAATGTTCAAAACTTTGCTGTGAGAACAAGTTTACGTTATAGAGCGTGGGACAAAGAAAAAATTCTGAGTCCTCATGAGAAATCGAAACTCAGACCTTCGGATTCCGCGCTCCGAGACTCTACCACTGAGCCACAGAGACTCCACGGTGAGCGAGGTCTGTAACGAAGTTCATATGACACGCGTCCTGCATACTGCTAGGATCATCGATGGCGTAATGTTCGTAGATGGAAAAATAAGAGAGATGGGAGGTTTTGAGCTCGTTAAAGAAATAAAGAAAGATGTTTTTCGTCTCGTCACGAGCGTGGGACAAAGAAGAAATTCTGAGTCCGCATGAGGAATCGAGCCTCGAACCTCTAACACTGAGCCAGAATTGTTTCCTTTGTCCTCCATTCGTTACCAGACGAATAACATCTTTCTTTATTTCTTTACCGAGCTCAAAACTTACTATCTCTCTTATATTTCCATCTACAAATATCACGCTATCGACATTGCTGATCCTAGCAGTATGCAGGACGCGTGCCCTATGAACTTCGTTATAGACCTCGCTCACCATGGAGTCTCTGTGGCTCAGTGGTAAAGTTTACGTTAGTTTAGATAATTTTTGATATAAATTGTATGATAAGAATGAGTATAGACAATTAGCCTGCCGAGCAGGCGTAATTTTGCCGAGCGAGTGCTCGGCATTTTCCAAACGAAAACTCTGACCGCCATCTTTGATTTAAGTGGCAGCGGAAGGCTAGGAAGAGAAAGAAATATGTACCAAAGGGGCGGTCGTCGGTCAAAAATAAGGAGAGAGGTAGGGTTGGGGAGGTGAAGATTACAATGACGATTTAGGCAGAATTGCTAAATAGCATTTTTTTTTCAGACGTGTTTGTGGGAATAATCTATATGACTGTTATAAGCTACACCTCACCTTATCAAGTTCCGTACATTCGATACCCCTGTGTGTATGAGCAGCATTAATGTACAAGGATATTATTTTGTACTTGGTCCAAGTAACATCGTCATCTATCAAAAAAAAAGTATAAAAGCGTAAGAAAGCCTAGTGGTCATTCACCATGATGAAGAATGGTGATGATAAGGTTCCGTAAAATTATATATTCAATGTAATAACTGCTAATTCCGATCGGCTATTCCTCGTTCTTTTCAGGGGACATGAGGCGTTTATGATTTACCAAAAACTTTTCGAAAATTCCGGAATCTCTTGGTTAATAAGACATTCGAAATTGTTTCACGCCACTTTATGGAGCACGATGTTCCGATTTTCAATCTTCTGGTCTCGTCGATAACACAAATCACAGCGAAACAAAATGCTTAAAAAAATGCCTTTCCCCCTCCCCCAGGGATTCACTATGTAAACGAAACAAGAAAGTGGGCTTTAAATAGAGCACCCCAGTTTCCTTCAGCTTAAAGGAAGGGGGACGGGCAATAGGTTAGATCCATTAGGTAAAATTTATAATTACTTCAATTGTTTTTCACCCACAAAAAATACATAAGAGCTAATGAGCTATGAAATTTTCAAGGTTTACACATACTTTGCAGAGGTTTCCATGATATTTTTCCTTGGAATCTTTTCGTGCCATTCAGTTCTTGGAACATTATATTTACACCGGAAGCAAACATAGCAGGAGAACTACTGTCCGCACTGCCATTGTAACAGTTATAGCCTTCAGAAAAAGTAACGAATGGTACAAAAAAAAAAAAAACTAAAACAAATGAAATATATAACTGAATTATTTTTTAATTCCTAAATTACCAAAAGGACTAATAGGATGAAGATAACAAAAGAGGATTACCCGATTAAAGAGACTGCGCACAAGAAAAAGAATTTCGAGAACCAAGGAATGAAATAGGAACGTTTGCGGAATAAGTTGCGCCAGAGAAGCAGTAAAAGACTGATTTGGAAAACTTTGACAAAAGATCAACGAAGGGACGGCAGAAAAAGGCAGCTTACAGTTCTAGAATTAGCATAATCATAATAAGCAAAAGGGAACAAGTCACTCAGTCTTCATCGATTTGCAGAAACCAGGACGTTTTTAGGAAATTCAGTGGTTATTCGCGAGATTTAATTACAGGCTGAATTCTCTCCAATTCTTTGCTCACTGATAGTCATAATTGTGGGGAAGCCTTATGTCTGTTATCATCATTTTGTTACATAAGTCGAATGAGATCACTGAGTTTTGAGGAAGAATGGAAGCATGATATGTAACAGAGCCTCCATGCAGTGTAGAGGCAATATAGATATTTCCCCTCTAAAATGGAATTGGTCTATAATCTTAATTCATTACAAAAGTAGAATTTCACCCTACCATATTTTATTCCAGAATTCTGACTAGCTATGTGGCTTGAGGCATCTGTATATGGAATAAATCACCGAAAGAAGAGTTAAGCATTATTCAGCCCCCTGCCAAAGTGGGGGAAGATATGACTGGAACGATGAGGAACGCATGAGTTAGGTCCTCAAGCAATCTTTATTCCACTTCCCTAGAGCTTTTATTCTTAAAATATTTTGAAGCAATAACCGTGACCTAACTTCAACGGCATAGAAGAAGATTTCTATTATGAAAATTTATCAGTTAACAATCGTAGTTTTCTTTCCAAATACTAGTCAGGAAATGAGATGAGTATGGTAATTAGTTAGCACCAACGCACCGTTAAGTTGCTTATATTTATTCAAACTACCAATGATGTTGTTTCTCCCGCACGCGATCTAGTGATGTGATCATGAGTAATGACTAACCGCGTCTGGTTCTTTTGAATGGTGTCGTCTTCTCTTTATTAGTCAAAGCTTTCTGATCATTCGAAATAGCGCTTAGTTCCCCTATGAACAAAGGAGAAGAAAAAAACACATAAAAGGAGTGAATTCTCAAAATATCCTACCTACTAAATGGGTTGCCAAATGAACCCCTAATTCAGGTTTGCCATAGAATTACGTGATTCCAAAAGTTGGAGGCCTTCAGGGTCTAGCAAATGAAATATGAAGTCTAGCAAAATAAACTTTTTGCAGCACTGATTTCGTTAGAATATATTTTTCTCAAATGCAGTTGGTTTTATTAAGCAATTCTATAAAGTGAAAATTGTGGCTCAAAAATAATCAGCTTATAATATTTAATGATCACATCACACGTAGCAAATTAGCCAATTATATGGAAGGAACACACCACAACGCCCTCTAGTCATGTTTATATTTTTCACTAAGTTTTCAAGTGGCTGTCAAATTTCATTAACTCTGTCTTTTTATGATAAACCCAAAAATTAATGTTGTTACTATAGAAATTTCTGTCGAGAAATTTACTGAGGGATAATCCTTTCCGCTTTGACCGGTCTGGTCAAAAACAGGGTTCTGATTTTAAAAGCCTACCTTTCTCAGAAAGACACCTTTCGAAACAAGCTTCTAGACTAGACATCTGCAATAAAATAATAAATCGAACGTTTTGAAACATATCTGTCTACATACATGATCAATGATTTGAACCGTAGATTGTATAGTCTGATCGTGCGTGTGAGTGAGTCCTGAGATCTGCTTATGTCTGTAATTGCGACTGACGTATCCGGACAGTCTAAGTGGAAATTATAAAATTAAAATTTCAATTAAGGATCTAGAAATTGTGCAATTTGCGTCAAGGTTTGAAAATCAAGCGCACGTTCGCAGACGGAAAGTTCCTTTTTTTGGAGGGGGAGGGTGGGGAAACTTGTGTTTTTTACTTGTTAGGTTTTAACATTTTTTTTTCTGGTTGCATTTCGTTTTCTTGTGTTGTATTTGTGTGCTAATGCGTGTTAATTTTCTCATTTAACGGACCAAAGAAGATCAGACATATCGGTTTACTCTGTACAGACTTCTGGCGACATTAGTGGATCGTTTATTTATGACTGTTACTTCTTCTAATAAAGAAGGGAGCCTGAACATGAAAAGCAACGTGATTCCACCAAAACCGAAATATCCTCAAGGCGTAATATCCAAGAAAAAGTGGTGAGGAAGGTAGGGACAGAAAAAGAAATAAACAAAACAAAACCACAAAAACAATGATAATAATAACAGAAAAAAAAGGGAAGAAGATAATTACTTTGATGACTACAGCGCTATCGAACAATCATTAATTCATGTATTTCCTGACGTTTTCTTTGTTCTTCGGTGTTATTAGCAACCATTACTTAAACAGCCGAGATAAGCTTTCTTTAATCAAGGATGACAGCCATGGCGACATACACGTGTTGCGGGCTTGTTGCTTCGCGAATTGATCGAACTGATTGGGGAGCTGCTACTAATCCAGTCATCCAGCTCACCATATCGGATAAGATAGCGCATTGACGATAGAAATTTACCAAAGTTCATGGCTTTAAATAGCCCTAAGCAGCTTAAGATTAATTCTTGTTCGTCAGTTCTTGGCATTCAAGCACAATAGAGTAAACATGTTTGGCTGCGCTATTGAGTCGCCAGGGCTTGTTTTGTTCCTTCAAGATCCCACGGCTGTATGAAAGAGTCCATTGTATACGGTCATGGACTCTTCTGTTTACAGACAATTTCGAACATGTGAACATTTGTTATCAATTGATATCTGTGACTGGAGAAAAGTACTCGTTAAACAGCTCTAAGGGCTAAGATTATTTGATAAAGTGCTAAGAAAAGGTAGAATACGATATATCGATCGCCTCACAACTAAAGAAATTTTCAGTAAGTAATTCTATCAATGTTTTCAAATGAAAATGCGAGCAAGCCCGTGCAGAACATAACGACCTTGAAACATAACAACCTTGTTGTCGCTCTTTCGAGCGGTTGGAAATGCCAAATATTATACAATATTCATCTTGACAATTGCGATGTAATTTTCGATACGCATAAATTAATGACCAGAATCTCGACAAAATTCTACGCGTTAATTACTCTAACGTGGATTGTGAAAAGAGGCTGCGCAAACAAATTAGGACTGCTACTAGAATTTCTTAGGACAATAACACAACAACTTCAGAGAGGTGCCGCTTTTTAAAATTTAAGCAAAAAATTATTTACACATGCAGTCGAGCTGAATTGTTAAACTGCGAAGGTTCTACATGCACATCGCTGCAGGTGTACAAAACAATGCTTTGTACCTCTTTACTCGATATTCCCTTGTCATCCGCATGAAGGCCAATGTCACATCTCCTGAAGCAGAGCTCCTTGTGTTCCGGTAACTTCGACTGAGTAGGAATTCCAAGAGTGCCTCGACATTGTATGTGCACGAAAAAAACATAGCCCCAGAAGAAGACGATGAAAGGAATACTGTTAAGGAAGGATTTGCTCATTTTTTACCTCGGCGCTTCCTTTGAATTCAAGGTTACGGTGCCTACGACTCCGTAAATTCGCTGAAAGGGTTTCCGAATTCTAATGCCGTCTTGCGCACGTGATGGCCTGCTTGTTATGTACCAAATGAAGCAGGACAGGGTATTTAAGGTCACGTCATGCACCCACTCACCCATGGAGACATCGAATGAATAATACTTCGTATATCATGACGTCATGGGGTGAAAATCTACCCACAAGCTTCGCTTTCATTAAAATTTTCATAATATTTGACGTTCTTGTGAGTATTTTTTTGCTTCCGTTGTCCTGGGAACACTTTCTAATTGAAACTCACCAGTCCACAAAGTAAAGCACCGGGGTGAAACTGGTATTTTATCGCAAACAAGGCCTTTCTTAAGTATCTAATATAAAAAGGATGTTTTCTTGTTGTTTTCGTGTGAGTATTCTGTTGCGTCCTGTGTCCAGGGAACACTTTCCAGTTGAAACTCACCATTCCACAAAGTTGAGCAATGAGGTGAAACTTGTATTCCGACGTAAATATGCCTTAGGCCTATTGCAAACGTGGCAAGATAGAATTTTGCTGATAAGATAAAAATAAATACATAACTAAAAAAAGAAAGCGAAGAAGTATGAAGAAGACGAATAAAACCTTGACATGGTTTACAAACGACGACCGTGTGGGCGTCATTAATAAAACATCTTTCGACGAAAAATCAAAACAAAATGTGAAGAGTTCCTTTGGCAGACGGGAAGTTCTTTGCTTGACGCATTTTAAAGAGATGATTGGAGAAAATAAAGGCCTAAATGATGATAGTTTATTTGGTGGCAGAGCTATTATATCTTGACTTGTCTTTAGGACCGCCTAAATTACCAAGCATTTATCCAAATTCTTTTCCTTCAGATGAAAGAGATCTTGAAATAACCGACTGTTTAAATATACAAATATCAAAAATATTCGGGTTAAGTCAGACTAGCAGGGATTAGTGAGTATAACTCGCAAATCGCGACCGTATCTTTAAATGGTATCGAATCTAAAGTAACCTGATGTAGATATATTCGTTTAGTTTGATGATATGTTAGGGTTATTGCGATTAAAACCTTTTGAACATGTGGCAGATCATAATTTAATAAAAGATTTATTTTGAAGAAGTTTACACTTCTCTCGTTAGAAATTCTCGCAGAACATATTTTACAGCGAGATTATGCGTAACTGGATTTTATTACAGTTTGTTCCTTTAGGCTTTGTAGTTCTTCTCGAAAGATACCTTCACCGCTATCGGGAAAAGATGCAATGTGAAAACGATATGAAGATCCGTGGTGAACTTGAGATCGTTTTCAAGCTTTACTGAAGAGTTTAAATGGAACGAAGATTGGCACTTTAATATTTTTGATGATAAAATATCTGCCATATCGGTCATATTATATTTCCATATGAATTAATCACCCAACTGCAATTAGGTACGCCAGTTTCACCAATCAGCTTTTCTATGAAGAACAAATTGACGAACACAACCTGAACAAAGAAGTTTTGTTACTTGTTCGTCAACGAGACGACAATTATCAAGCGAGATAACATATCTCTCTGAGATGGAACTGAGTTAATTTTTTTTTATGAATAATTAGAAGAGAAATTTGTCTTGATATGACATGATTGGTTGAAACGATGAGCTTATATCAGAGTGCTAATAAGTAGGAAGTTGTGCAATGGTGCTTAATTTTAGACTTGCTTTTCGACCATCTAATGAATTAAAGAATTTTGCCTTCATGAACCCTCTTTATGGCTCAGACAAAGACGACGGAAATAACCATTGTCACCGAGACAATATTGTTTAGGTTGTAAGGTATATGGAAAAGTGATAACGATATAGCGAAAGACAAGCTGTCGAACCGGGCATGGGTTACTTTTAAAGGAAAGGCGATGACAGGTAACGACAGGAAACGCTACTGCTAATTTAGGATACCAAATAAACACTGATGTTCAGATAAAACCCACACAAATAGTAACACCGTTTCGTGCAAATCGATTCATGCACACACATCTTAGAGAGGCGAAAAAGGGAAGTGAGTAACATCATCCATTTTTTAATTCGCTCTAAACGGGCACCGTCTCTTACTCAACTTGCCGATCACAACGGCAAAGTTTATTGTTTCTCTCGTACGTTTTTAAAAAGATTTGTTAGAATTAGACAGCAAATTATGGCAAGGATGAACTTCGAATCGATTAGAGTGGAAATGAGGCGGTCATAACAAAGGATGACGTGAGCAAGTTTTTTTTTCTTTTCAGCTGTTCTTGATCAATTTTAGTCCTTTTTCAGGTTTCAGCTGTATCTTAACAAGGCATTTTAATAGCCCTAATCCGATATGCTTTTGGTGAGTCGCGTGGATCGCACGAAGAGTGCGGGGGTGAGTAACGCTTTTTGTGAGCAAACCGATAAAAGTAGATGATTGCCTCCGATCTTACTTGTCTTCCAAATGTCCCATGGACTCACTATTAACCGTCTTCAGTTAAACGGCCAAAAACAATTAGCTGTTAGGATAAAAGAAAAAAAATTGAACCGCAAAATTTTTCTGGTTACCTCAATGGAAAGATATTATCTATTAGCCGTAAAATTGCCAAAATTTTAACTGGTAGCCTTAAAAGCACCCCATTAAGGACTCTAGTAAAGCTCTTTGGATTTAGCTCTTCTCGATTAGATGCCCAAAATATTATCATTTTCTTGTCTTAATTGCCGATAGTAACGTTCCTTTTGGATTGGAGTTCTTGTCTTGGGCCAAACTCACTCCTTAGTACAAAAGAATTAATCCATGCGTATATCGAGTAATCGATGCACGCGTGGAGTTTGTGAGCACAGGAGAAGTGTAAGAGTTGCTCGAGGCGCAGCCCCGAGCAATTCTGCATCTTCTCGTTATACACGCAGCTAAAGCATGAACCAATTCTTTTATGACATACCATGCAAACTCAAGTTGTCCTGGAAAAAAAAATTATAACAACTGTGTCGGGTGACCATGTAATCGTGTTATGCCCGAAAACTACTAATAAATGACAAGGCAAAAACGACCATGAAATATTTCGTGATTAAATCTTTGCTACAATTAAAGAATTTTAAATTTTCTCCTCAGAAGCCGAAAAACGAACGAATTTCTTGCATGTACGAAACCATGTATTAAATTCAACAAGCTTGAATCGTTGTTTACTAGAATTAACGGCCAGAAAATTGCGTTGCTTTCTAAAATCTGAGATTGTTTGGTTTCAAATTAAAATCTTCTATTATACAATATACTTTAAGGAAATATCAACACTTAAAATTATGTCAACCGTTCGAAAAACGAACCGAAAAACTTACAAATTTCTTGCATTTATAAAACTCGTGTAGTAGATTTACCCTGCTTAAATTGTTGTTTACTAGAATTTACGACCAGAAAATTGCGTAGCTTTGTGTTGAAAAATTCGGAAAATTGCACGATTTCAAAACATTGAAAGACACTTTTAGGACATATCAACACAAAATAATATCTACCGTTTAATGAATATTACTCAACGTCGCAAAGCCTTAGTTGAAGTCACAAAACTTAGTTTTGTTTTCATTCATAATTCGCATCGCGTTTGGGAATGCTCATTGTTTTTCGAAACGAGTTCTACTTAACATGTTATATTTTCATTTGAGCTCCAAAAGGTCTACATCAATCAGTATAAAGCGGGAAAAATATTGAAAGTTTTGAAACCTTAGGGCTAAACTCAACTGGAACTTTCAGCCGAGGTGAAATTTCACATGTCATGTAATGAATGCACGGCCATGTAGTACATGATGATTTTTACTATGGCAGCTCCTTAGGAAATAAGTAGGACTTGCGCGCGCTATGCCATAATTCTTATTGTTCCCAATTTAATATCATTATGAATTTCAGATCTTCATTTGATTTTCCAATTTCTTTGAGATACTCTAGCATTTTAACTGCCTTAGTGCAATCAGTGAACGTAAGTGCACATCTTTGCATTTTGAAGCGAGAATTTTCCATCCAGACGGATGAAAGTTCTTTGATTTTTGACCGTTCGACGGTTTTGAGGACCGGTTTAACCCTGTCAGACTCTCGTACAACAAATTTGTCAATCAATGAGATTCTGTTCACTGGTTTTACAGCTCACGTCTCCATTGCGCGTGGAGAATTGTTTTGTATTATCTTTTATTCGCAACTGAGATCTGTTGATTCTCCTCCCTGATGTTTAATACGAAGATACTTTGATATTATCTCAATATTAAAGCCTCCGGCAGTCTAATTTTATCACCCATGCGCTTAGCAAAGTGTTGATATCGTAAGAAAAGGTCACTTTTTGACCTTACCTAAACGCCTAAGTGGTGATGTTTAATCGACTTACGTAATCAAAACCGTTTAAAAAGAAAACCTGAGAAAGAAAGGGAATAAAAACACCAGGATATTACGTCATTCCGGCGGAAGGGTGTCAACACGAAAAATAACACAAAACAAGAGCATCGTATTC